TAACATAATGCAAACCAATTGCAACAGTAAACATCACAAGTGGGAGAATATCATACATGATGCAGCCCCATGAGCTCTATCCCTAGATGTTTGTTTTTTTAAAAAAAATACATGTTTTTAAGGTGAGGATCCCCCAATCCCTGGGCTGCAGCTCACTGCTGGGCCATGGCATATTCAGAACTGGGATGCACGAACGGCAGGCTGGCATACGTGTGTGTGTGTGTGTGCACAGCTCCTCGCACAAGCTGTGGGCCGGCAGTCGAGCTATGCATGCATGTGCATTGGTCTGCCACTCACGTGAGTGGAGCTGTGTGTGTTGGCCTGCCACTCATGTGGCCCAATTCCCCTCTTTCTCCCACCCCCCCCAGCTGGGCCACCAAAGCTTCAAAGGTTCAGGGCAGCTGTTTTAAGGCCTTTACAGAAAGCCATAAGGCTAACGTCACCTCAAGAGGGATGATGTCGCAGAGGGTGGCGTGGAGAAAAGAAAAAGAAAAAAAAAATCCCCTCCTAGGTCCCATCCGTCAGAATTCTTTTGTAGACAGGATCCACAGCATGCCATCTCCTGATGGCCCCCTTTGGGATGGGCAGATATAATTGGGGAGAGGCAGTCTCTTAACCTGGCCCCATGCCAGGTCAAAATCAGTATCTTTATTTGGAAGCAAACTGATCATGAAGTAGAGATGTAACACGTATTCCTCTTAGCAGCACACACAACTGCTGGTGCCGCCGCATTTTGTACCAGTTTAATTAAAAATGGAGCTGCTGATAATCCACGGGTGGATTTCAAAAGGAAGGTTTTTTTCCATCCTGTTCTGAATCACAGAAGATCTACGTGCACAAGCAAGTCTTCGACTTACAGCCGTTCATTTAGTAAACATTCATTTTGTGGCCATAAGTTACAGCAGCACTGAAAAAAAAGTGACACGTCCGGTTTTCAAGCATCCCACATGATCAGAATTCGGGCGCTTGGCAACCGGCATGTATTTATGATGACTGCGTTGATCACCATCTGCAACTTTCTCAAGCTGGCGTTTGATAAGCAGTGACGACAGGGGAAGTCAGATTCACTTAATTGCCCTGATTTGCTTAAGAAATGTGGCCAAAAAAAGGTCATAAAATGAGGTGCAACGCATTTAACTGCCTTGCTCAGCAACAGAAAGTTTGGGCTCAATTGTGGTTGTAAGTAGAGGACTACCTGGACTCCAGAGCAGGGGTCTCCAACCCTGGCAACTTTAAGACTTCTGGACTTCATCCAGAATCCACAAGTCTTATAAGATGCCAAGGTTGGAGACCCCTGCTCCAGAGGGCAGCGCATTCCGTAATATGGTAACATATATGCATAGGTAGTTAGACAAAATAAAGCTGAAGAACCTATTTAGTGTGACTTCTTGAAGGCAGACACTTTTTAAAAAGAGATTGGACAACCATTTGTCTGAAATGCTGTAGGGTTTCCTGCTTAAGCAAGGGGTTGGATTGGAAGACCTCCCAGGTCCCTTCCAACTCTTGTTATTCTTTCAAAATTATCTGGATCTGCTGCCCATAAAGACATTTCAGCCACCAGATGTCTCTCCTCTCTGCTGGGCCAGATACGGTCAACAGCTGTGCCAGTTTCCTGTTCACCACATCCTGGCGGCAGCAGAGGCTCTCTTGCATTGTGGGTCTGAAATGGGAGGGAGGAACACGGCTGATGTGGGATTTTTTTTTAAATATAAAAAAAGGGAGGGGGAGCACAGTATCTCAGCCCTGCAGAAGGCAGGCTTTTAAGCATTTCCTGTGCTGATCCTAAGGCCACTACAGCCACCCATTTGTATATTCAGACGCGTACCAAACAATACTGCTGTTTTAAGAGACATCAAGCTCCATAAGTCCTTAAATCAAGAATTGCCATACCTTCTTCTGATTTATAAGGGAGGGGGGGGGATTAATGAAACATGATTGTGCAAGGCTTTTAGCAGATATCAGTTCCCCCTCCCAAGTATCTCACACCACATAAAAACAGAAAAAAATGTTCCAATTGTTTGTAGCTTTAAAAAGCAGTAGTCCTCAAAGACAAAAAAATGCCTTACACATATATTGCATCATATATATATATATATATATATATATATATATATATATATATATATATATATATATATATATATATATATGTATAATATATATTGAATATATATTGAATATATAATCACCAGCAGACTACAAGGATTTGGTTTTCTAGCCACTATTTTTAAGACTGCCAACACAAAATATATATATAAGGAAAGGCATCCCTAGAGTAACCCCAATGCTTGTAGAGTATTAAGATGTCTCTTTAAAGTTTTGATGCCTTAAGAATTAAGTACATTCTGTGCCTGTGGTAACACTGAGGACACAACTATAAAGGGGACAGCAAACCCTAGAAAATGGCCGGCTGAGAAAATACAGCCTGCTATGCAGTAGGTTCCTTCCAGGCCTTGTTTTCCCATGCTTACATTCTGTATTTTGGGGGAAGCGACAACTTCGGCTTTTCTCCCGAAAAGCTTTAAAAATACACAAAGCACATACAGTTTTCACTGTACAATGTTGGAATATTCTAGGGCTGGGATTTCAAAGTAACATCTGCCAAGTTTTTGCGATTGCCTGACGCACCCTAAAGATAAACCCCGTAGTACATCATGGATGTGATGCAAGTCTACAGAGATCCATATGGAAGTAAAAACTCCAATGAATTTTAACCAGGAACCTCGTGAGTAAGCATTTAGGATGGCTACTCAGCCTTACGTGGATGCAAATTTTACTGGAATGCCACTCAGGCTAAATGATTGATCCAGAAGCACCTCATTCTCATCAGTAATCCAGCAGGCTTCAGCTTTCAAGATTTCTTGGAAATAAAACAATCAAAAGAAGAGGAACACGTTTCTACATACCGGTGTAGCTATCTATTGTTAAAAGGCTTATTATTACTTCGAATGCTAAAAGCCTCTTTTTTTTTTGGCTCAGAGATACTCAAACAAAACAAGGCAAACTGCAACCAAAGACTAAAACAAAATAAATTGTGTTTACCGTGACTTTAAAACTAGTCTTGTGCACTGTACAGCAAACTGATTTAAATGGGATTTTTTAAAAAAAAAAGAATTCAAGCATAACTGAGGGAGTTCCCACAATATGGCAATCCAAGCCATGTCTGTCTGCCTTATAAAGAAAAATTAGGCAAACGATGTAGCTTTTTCTTTGTAGCATATGCACCAAAGACAAATCCCCTTGTGCGTCCGATCACACTTTGGCCAATAAAGAATTCTACGTGGAGTTAAGTCGCCGTAAATTTCAAGATCAATCCCAACGCACGACCCACTATAGCATTTCGTGTGGAATCTTCTTTTTAACCACGACCTTATAAAAGCATTTCGTGTGAATCTAACGAACCACATTATCTTTACGAAGGTGCAGCCTCAGAAAGGGGGTCCCCCCCCCCGGGCCCTTGCAGGGCAAAACCCGTGGAGGGGGAAAAAAAAAGGGGGGGGAGGGTGTTTTACAGTAGTTCAAATCCCGACACGCCCATGGAGGATTTTTCAGCTGCAGCGCACACAACACGCAACGCCAAGAACTGGATAGGGAGGGAGGGGGGGGAATACTGCAAGTTAACCGGAAGGCTGCTCTCAAAGCTTCCCCCACTTTGTACGAAAGGACGGGAAGCCAAGCTGTGCTCGCACCCCCACCCGTCTCTCTCCCCCCCACCCCCCCCCTATGAGGACAGGGATGAGTTTTTTTAAAAAAAATATGCGGCGTCCCCGACGCGCGTGGCACCTCGCCGAGGCCCGATCTCCGCCCAGCGGATCCAGAACGGGTGGATGTGGGGAGGGAGGGAGGGAGAGTAAGTGGGGGGGGGAGAAAGAGGGAGGGGAGCACCCGGGGAAAGCAGGCAATGCCACACGGGCTACCATCTTGGATGCAACAAGGCGAAGAAGCAAGAGCTGACCGGCGGGGGGGGGGGGAAAAAAGCGTGTTTTGCTACCCAGCATTCGACTTGCAAAAGCTCCACGCGCCCACGCGTGGGTGGGTGGGTGAGTGGGTGGGAAAAGGGCGCGTCGCCCGCAAAAAGCCACGGTGCGAATCGTCGGAAAGGACAAGCTCAGGGTCACTCGCGAGGCTTTGCAGAACTCTTAACCTGCCTTCTTCCTGAGGCGCGTCCAGCATAACCTTATAATAGCCCACACCCCCCCCCTTCTTCCTTTTTTTTTTTTTCTTCCTTTCCTGGCGCGAATCTTCCCCGCAGTCCCCCTCCCCGTCCGCCCTCCAGCTCTTGCCACCCAGGCTCGCGCATGCGCCGTCCGCTCCTCTTATCACCTCCCAGGCGCAGCTTCTTCAGTGCGCATGCACGGAGGGCTTTCCAAAGCCAGGGCTGAAACCAAACCGCTCCCTCCCCTCCCCTCCCCGTCCGCTCTTTCCCCATGCCACGTGTCCCCAAGCAGCGCTCGGCCCCACGTGGGACTGGCCACGGCGAACCAATCAGAGGATCGCCTCGCCCTTGAGCACGTAGGACAGCAGCCCCACGTGCGCAAACGCGCGGAGACGAACCGGGCTCTCCGGCGTAGAGAGAGAGAGAGAGAGAGCGCGAGCCATTTCCATCCCTTTTTCCGCCTTTACTCCTATGTAACATATCAGGCGCTCACCTCGCTGGCTCGGTTGTGAAAGTGGGAAACGACCCGCACTTTATTTTTATAGCGCTGCTGAGGCGGACGCGGAAAGAGCGGCAGTTCTACGAACCAATGAAGTCATGGTTCTGTTAAGGCGGGGCGGAGGTTGCCCGAGACGCTCGGGTTACAGGGAGCCGAAGGGGAGGGGCCGTTTTTCCTCAGAGAAGGAGGACAAACGTGGCCAATAGGAGGCGGGGAAAAGTCAGGAGGTGTTGCTGAGAGAATGAAGTGGGTGGAGATCGTGCGGACAGGCCAGCCAATGAACCGACCCGGTGGGCGTGCCTGGGGCGCCCCTGGCGCCAGCGCTGGGAATCCCCGTGCGCTCAGTGCCGTTTCCGCCCGGCCTGCTGAGGAGGAGCTGTTGGCTGCTCACTGTTGCCGCGGAGGGGGAGGGGCCGTAGGCTGTTGCTCTGTGGAGCTGAGCTTTCGGTCCGGCCAGCTCTCTAGGAAACGCCGTGGCGCCGAGCAGGGCCTAACGCCGGGGGCCCGAGCAACGGGCCGGACAGGTCAGCCAAAGCAATTGAAGAAGAGGAAAGGTGCCTGTGGGCTGAAGGGGCCACTGTTTGGAGGAGGGGGATGTGGAGGGGGAGGGGCGGGAAACTTAGAGGGGGCTTTTTTTCTTCTTCTTTTTTGCGGGTTCTTGCCCCTCTCTCTCTTCCAGCCCTCTTATATGCACCCTGCCTCTCGCCTTCCTTTTCCAGCTTGGCCCCAGGAATTCCCGCTTCAGGAAGCATAGGTTTTATACGTGTGGTAAAGGTGGGGGGGGTGGGGGTGGCCAGGAAGGGGGTGGGGAGCCAAGTATTAAAAAGAGTGGCTTTTCCAGATGGAAATGGGGAGCCCCTTGCATTTTTGTGTGAGGGGGGAGGAAGAAGAAGAGGAGGAGGAGGAAAGCCGAGGGTCGTGCTCCTTTTCTCGTCTGCCTCCCATATCCCTGCGTCTCCTTAGCCTGGGAGGCGTCTGAGTGCAAGGAGAGAGGGGTGTGAGGGGAGAAGGCGAAGGGGTGTGAGGGGAGAGAGAGAGAGAGGAGAGGAAGGCTGGAGGGGGAATCCCCGCCGAGCCCTGCACGGAGGGAAGTCGGGGACGGGAGGGAGGGGGGAGGGGTGGGGGCGAAGGTAGGGCTGCTTTCCGTTTTGCTCCCACCCATCCCCCCACCTTCCTTGTGGGGCTGGGAATAACACACACACACACACACACACACACACACACAGCCTTATGGCAGGCAGTCTTGCTCTCTTCCCCCCCCCCCACTTCCACCTCCCACCTGTCTTGATTTTGGGGAGGGGGGAGGTCTGGTGGAGCCGGTGGTGGTGGTGGTGGAGGAGGAAAGGGCGTGTGTGGATGTAGAGGGTGGTTGGTTGGAGGAAAGGAGATCGTGGGTGGTGGGTGGTGGGAGGGAGGGCGTGTGAAGGGACCCCAGTGCATGCACTTGTGTGTGTCTCTCGGTTCCCCCCCAGTCTTGGGTTGCAAGGAGGAGGAGGAGGTGGTGGTGCCGGTGGGAACTAGTCAGTCCGATCACACATTATGGGGAGATCTTGTTGGGGGAGGGGGAGGAAACGTGGGGAAATTCTTCGTTGGGACGATGGGAAGAGGGGGGGGCTCCAGCTTCCAAGCAGCTGGTGTGCCAGGAAAGTGTGTGTGTGTGTGTGTGCGGGTGCGCGTGTGTCGGTTACTCCTGGGCGACTTCACCACGGCCTCCCCTCGTTCCTTTCCTCCTCCTCCTCCATGTGCTGAAACAGCTTCCCCTGAGCTGCTCCTTCCTTCCCTCCCTCCCTCCCTCCCTCTCTCTCTCTCTCCCCTCGCTGTCTGCTTCTGACTTGCTGGCTCCTTCAGGCAATGGGGGAGGAGGTGTTTGACCTGCATTTTCTGCTTTCTCATGGTGCTCGTGTAAGCCATGGTGGAGCACTTTAATCGTCCCTTTCTCTCTCTTTTCTTTCTTTTTTCCCCTTCTGCTGTTCCAAGACGAATATGTGGCCTGATTTTCGTCGTTTGTCGTGTATGTGTGTGTGTGTGTGTGTCTTTTTTAAGGAAGCTGTGTTTTTTTGGTTGGCATGTCTGGATCCCAGCACTTTTAACTGGCAACTGTGGTTCCCTTGTAAACACGGCAATAGTGCTGAAGCAAGGTCGTAGGAGCCCCCCTCGTCTCCCAACAGTTGTCTTTCCTGCCAGCCAGCAGCTTAGGACTTGAAAGATAGCTGTCTTGTGCTTGTGAGGAGTCTTTTTGGAATTGGAGGAAGATGATTTGGTTTTGAGGGAAGGGGTTTGTGGAGGCAGAAGAAAGGCAAGAGATTTTCTTTAAGAAATGCATTGCTGTGAAACGTTTTGGTGCATACAATTAATTTGGGGGGGGGGGTCCTGTACCAAAAAAGTAGCTCTCTCACACCCCCTGTTTAGTGAGATCTTTGCAATAAAGAACAAAATATACTACTGAGTTTCCTTCTGCTTTAGTTTCCTTCTTTAAGTAAATAATAGTCCTTGCAGGGAGGCCTCCTGCAAATTCTTTCCCTGGTAGTATTTCAGGTTCATAGGCAGAGGTGCAGAACAGTAAAATATATCGGTTTTGTCTTGGAGGGGGGTGAGGCTGCAGCTCCCAATTTTTTCTTTTACAAATATCTATTTTGGTTTGCAGAAACGTTTTCTAATTGAGCCTTCTGTGGGGGACTGGATATGGGTCACGGCAAGACAAAGTTGTATTACTTCCTTAATGGTGTGTAGGATTATCCCTTTTCACCTATGAAGGTGACATCAGACACTGCCCCTCCCACACACGAACACAGCTCGCCTAGGAAGTAGGTTTTGCAGCTGTCTCTTACAGCACAGAGGTGACTGAGGGTGTTTTGCCTAGTGTCCTGTGGGTGTGTGTTCAAGGCAGTGACAAGCAGCTAATGTTGGCTCTGGAGCTTTGGTTGCTACGTGAGAAGCTTCAATAGTGTTGGCTGCTGTCTCTAGGGAAGGACAACAGCACAACCTCCATTAGTGCTGCACTTAGGAGATGGCTGGTTCACGTACTGAAAAGGGATTCTTCATTAGGACATGAAATTTGGAACCAGAAGATGCCTTTTCCTACTCTCTGCACAAATATTTTCCTGAATTTCATTTGGATGTCGTTTAGAAATCAAGACATGTCTTCTCTCTCATTTGCAAGATCCAAGATCGTGAGAATTGATCAGATACTATATTTCTAAAGTGAGAGAGATGCAGTTCCTGTAGCTGCAGTCTCTGTCTCACTTTACCCTCCCTCCAGTAAACAAGAGAGCCAGATGCTTTCCTTATTGTTTGTAGGTCTCTTTCCTCCCCTTGCTTTGCCTGGGCCTCACTTGCCTTATTGAGAGGAATTTCTGCTTTGTGTAATGGGTGTGTACAGCAGACACAAGTCTTGCACTGGGAAGATTTTCCATTCATGGCGTGTGCAGCCAAAATATGGCACATCTTGCCCTTCCAAATGTCATAAGAACATAGTCTCATGAATGTGAAGCGGAATTACACCTATCTACCTAGCTAGACAACAGTATATGCTGAATTGCTTAAGCCAGGTTTTATGTCTGATATCCTCCTTACCTCATAAGTACAAAACAATGGTTATAGTATCTCTCTGGTGCTTAATGTTACTGTCCAGTGTTAAAATCCTGTAGACTTTTACTATACAAAAGTCTCAAAATCTTGATAGTTATCCTAATTTCATTCCAGAGACAAATCAGGTAGAGTGGACTTTCCTAAGAAAGCTAATAATTGCTAAAGGAATTTTGATCCTTCCTTGATACTTAGTGGCCTGCTTGGTCTATCAGGAGGTATAGTGCAATTAAATGGTAAAACACAGGCCTGATTTTCATCATAGGAATGGTGAATAAGAACTACCGTACTTATAGCATAACTTCACTGTAATCAGCATCTTGATTTTAGCATACTTAAAAAGATAAGGTACAGTAAATGACAGCCAATAGAAATGAAGCCTTAACTTTTAGAGGTCTTCAGTTTAAAACTATTAACCATTCCAAAGAACCCCTTCAGCTAATTTCAGGGCTACAATATTATATCATACTCTTCTTGCCTTATCTTCATGTCAACCTCCTCAACTAGCAGGTATCACTATATTCAGTAGAGAGTTTTGTCGCCTATGTTTATCGTTTAGGGCTTTGCTTCTGGTTTATTTTTGTAATGGAAGATAGCTTTATTGGTCTTTAAAAATATAAAAAACAAAAAGACATGCATGGAAGGAGCAATGACTCTGATTCAGGTGGATAAATACCTGGATGATACAGTTGTGGAATGGTTCCCTGGGATCTGTTGGGTGAGGAATTTAGTCCTTGAGTTTGATGTTATAAGTTATTGTTATTTTTAATCATAATGAACATTCTTGGTTTTTGTCAGCATGGCCACTAATTAGCAGTTTACTAAGAAAACTATACTGATTGAATTGCATATCTCTTGTCATTTATCTTTTAAATTGAATTACCTTTCTCTCCTGAAATCACAGGTACCACAATGAAAATATTAAATGAAACATGAGATTATAAATTTAGTTGATGAGGCTCCTAACGGAGGGAGGCAGCCTGATGCCCATTGATACCAAAGTGGCCACTGACTCATCCCTAGTTCTTGCCTGTTCCTCTGCTACAGCTTCTTTCTGCAAAGCAAAACATAAAATCTTTAACTTGGTATGTACTTCAAAGAATGGCTAAGGCTTTCTTAGAAATTTGAAATGGAGGATGGCTTCAGCCTAAAGCTTTGTTTTAAAAAAACAATTTGCATCTTTGGGGATTAGGAAAAGTAGTTGACAGCAGTTTCACCAGTTTTCCTTCCCCAAAAATGTGAGCATTTGAGAGCCAGATACCTTCCTTGATTGTCTCTTGTGAACTGGGAAACTCACATAGCAGCCATTTTGTAAGAACACTCTGCACTTCAAGTGTACCAACTTGTCCAAAAGGCTATGTATGTCCTTAATAAATCCTTAAACTCACCTTTTGAGGATACTGCGATTCTTGAAACTATAACAATGCATTGTTTTGGCACTTCTAATCATGTTTACAAAAACTAAAATATAGAAACCAGTAGAAATGATTTGATCATTACTTTCCTAATGTGAAGGAATGAGGAACTGAATGAAATGCACAGGATTTGGAAAATTGGAAAGATATTTATTTATCTAGCTAGCTTGTATAGCCAATTATCTCTCAAGAAAAGCTTCACCATGCTAACATATCTTATTTATACTAAAGACAATTCTAGAACACTACTCTGTTATACAGAGAGCACATTGCTGTAATGGAACTAGAAAATAGTAACAAGTATTATTTTGGGATATTTCTTAGAGCTGGAGAGTTGATTGCAACTCACCTGTATATCTAATGGGGAAAAAAACAAATCTAAAATATAAACTGGAACAAACTCAATGAAAATCTTAAGTAACTATTAAATACTTTAACTAAAAATGGGTGTTCAGAATTTATGATAGATTAGCTCTGAAGGTTAGCAATTTAAATTTGTTTGCCTTAAAAAACAGAAACATACTTTAACTACTATAGTTATCACATTTTTAGTT